TAGAAAGCCCACGTAGCTGGCTGGATAAAGACTGCAATGTACAGGCTGGAACAGAAGAATCAGTTCATTGAACACTGACCTAAAGTGGACAATGCTCTTTAACAATCAGATACCTCACTTAGGTGCTCCTAAATCAGCTTCTCTCTCCTAAGGGATGTTGAAAAACAGGTAGTATGTGAAAAATATTTTTATCCTTCTAAGCACAGAGAATTTTTTTTATATTGTTATTAATCTGAGACTATAACCTCAATTCCACAGTCAACCAATTGTGGAAATGCTATAACCTCAATTCCACAGTCAACCAATTCTGGAAATGCTGTGGGAAAAAAGTGCTGTTTCCAGTAGGTTGAAGTACTCTGCAGTTAAACACCTGGAATATCTCTGTGAGAGGCTTTTTTTAGCCAGTACAATTTCATGTATGGCACAGGAGCCTTAGATGTGAAAAAATTAAAGAAATATTTCCAAGAAAGCAGGCAAAACCTCAAAATTATTACTTACCTATAAAACACACCACTGACAACCATGGAGAATTGAGGTCCCACTATTGCAACCAGTGAAGGTGATATAAGATTTGATGCAGACAATACTCCATAAATAATGGACATGCTACAAAAATTAAAAACAAAGAGTATTAAATACTTAAAATAAAATATAGGCTAAAATTTGATTTAAGTGTGATCAGTGGATTTCAAAATATCCACTGAAGTACATACATAATTTAACAGCAAAACTTCATTCTCCTTTCAACATTTCTACTTTCTTCTGTTCCCTTCACCCATGGCACTCCACACGGGAATACAGGACTGAACAGAACTCCCTGGATTGCTGAGTAGAGTCCCAAGCTGCTGCAGGCAATGACATCCTGGAGTTTACAGCATGCATTTGTCAAACTGCCTGAACAGCAGTTGTTGTATTTTGTACCCTGTATGTCTAGAGGAGAATGTTCCAGAACCTCATTTATCTGTCAGTGAGGTTTTCATCTTCTGCCAAATACACCACAGAAATTTTACAGACATATTTTGTGCCATTGGCATTTTTAGTTTAAATTAATACAGTAAACCCTTCAAAGGAGCAATGAGGTTTTCCTACAGGACAGATCAATTTGGAATGCAAAAGGTCCCTGATCATGCCTGGCAAGTTTGACTCTGCCAGTGCAACCAAGAATGGCTTTTTGTGGCTTTGCTTGTCTTTCTGACTGCTCCTTTCACATTTGTGTTGTATTTCCTGAGAGCTGATCCACACCACCTGTCCTATACAAACACAGTGTACAAAAGCAAACAACCAAGGTCTGAGTTAGCAGTTTTATTTATTTTTAAACTTCCACCTTCTTTGCCTCCTAAGGTAAAATGTTGAGAATGTGATGACAGTGGTTTTTCACCCTGCAAAGAAAACATGCAAACCAGATATGTAGTTCAACTGGAAATAATTCAGAGCAGAACTGTGAGAAGCCTGTTTTAAATTGCTTTAAGTGTGTCAATAAATTATGAAGTCAGCAGAACTCTACAATCTCTTGAGACTTCTCTCTGCTGGATGAAACTGTAACTAAGCTCACCCTGCAAGGAGCAAAGTAAGAAGAAAATCTGTGTAATTACCTCGTGTAGCCACTGCCATGAAAGTCTGTGTTGTTTAAATTCGTGATAACAGTTTGCTGTGAGGAGAAGATCATACATTGTAACATGTTAGAATCTATCTTGTATTTTGAGAACACCTGCATCTGTTTGAAGTCAGTTATCAAACATTAGAATTATTCATTAACAGACACTACAAAGCACTTGAAAGAATTTAAAATGTTAATTACAACTCACACCACCTCCACAAGAAAGATGCAGGAGATATTTGGCAAGGAAACATCTATGTTGGAAGAAGAAATCAGTACTTTATTATTACATCATAATTTCATAAGAGAGCTAAAATACTTCACAAAACTTCTGTTTCATTTAAGACCTTTCTTATGCAGATAGGTATGACTATCTTAATTTTAAAAGTGGGGAGAAAAGGAGAAGTTTCAGAATAATCTTAACTTGACCTAACTATGAATCTCTGTTAAGAGTTTCCATTGTTTTCAGCTTCCCATTATTTCCCTGTTCCTTCTTTTTCCCCCTTGAATCAGCTTTAGTGATCATGAGACCACACAGTTAGTTGGACTGGCAGGCAGATCTGATTGAAAGCCACTTGAAAAGACTTTTATGACAATGAATTACATGATTGCATGATCACAAAGTCCAATTCGGTGAGGTGCTGAATTCATTGCAGAATTTCTGAGATCACTGGGCTGCACTTGAGAGCTCACAGAAAGTATCACACTGCACTAGGGCTTATAAAAACTACCCCAAGTAGTTATTTCTGTAATATTTCTGTATTATTCTGTAATATTCTGTCTAAACAATTCTGTAATTTTCTGTAATGCAGTGAAGGACATTTTTCTGTCTGAACCCAGCAAGGATCCTTCTTGCAAGCAAGAAAAGAACCTGTGGGCTCAAAGGGGATGTTGAAATCTATCTGCCCTGCAGGAGCAGAACTAACAATACTGAAAGCAGCTCAGGAAGTTAAAGGGCTAAACCTGGCAGTAACAGCAGCCTAAACATTTAAATAGTAACAGTAAATTTGGATTATGCTGTGCTCAATTTCTGCTCTGCAAAGAGATACTAAATAGCAGCAAATAACTCCTTCAGCTGGAAGGTGACTTGGCAGTTTAGCAATTGTGGAAATCTATTTGTCAGGTGTTATCCTCATACTTCCCCTCAATACCTAGTTCATTAGATTATGAAAATCTAGTTAATAATAGCATGGTTCATAATAACTTAGGCAAATATTTTGAAGGGGACAATATAGAATATGCAAGGCTCAGTGACATTCAATTGTCTAACATCACAAGTGTTAAAGCAGGCACTATTTTAAAGCTCAAACATTTCATAAGATTATTTTTCTACTTTCTAAGTAATCAGGATCAATTTTATATGTAGCTATGCTATCTTAAAGAGATAACCTGCTGAATTATTTGGTTAAACACATTAATCTACTTCAAACGAAACCAAAAGAAGATAAATGTCAAAGTATCTTGCACATTAGGAAACCCCAAATAAAGCAACATTAGAGCACACAAAAGACAAGCTAAGATAAATAACTGAGATAGAAACAATTGGAAAGTCACACCTACCGCGATATTTCCACAGGACTGGAAAGCAGTGAATATAAACATAAATGAGACTCCCAAAATAATGATGTTGAAAAGCTTTTTTCCCTCTGGAGACATTTTGTGTATTTTTTCCCAAGTCCTCAGCTTCAGTCTGGAAAAACTCTTTTTTCTTTTAAAAGTTTCCTTTTAACCTCTGTTTAAAAAAAAAAAAAAAAGCATAAAAGAAAGCAAGCTTCAAAACTAATAATTACTTAGAGCTACTTACTAGCTGCAAGAAAATATCAATTAATTAAAAGTCCTGGTAACCCTTTTAAATAATGTGCAACAAAACTCGAAAAATAAGAAGGTGTGGTACAAAAGGTAAAGCCCAGGATTTCCTCTACCTGTTCCCATGAAGTTACCAGGGCTGACTGCAGTGTGTTACTCCATGGCATCCCTCTCTCCCAGAGGAGCAGCTTTCCCAATATCGAGCAGGTGAATCAGCTCAGCTTCTTGGCATTGTTGAAATCAGAATTGCTGTCCCCGGCCTCTCAATCACCTGACGAAGGAAGGATGAGACGCTCGCACATTTCCATGCCCTGCACAGGAAATAAAGAACATTTCAGTGTCTCGATCAGCTGACCCAGCGCTGAAAGCCCTTGTGCACTATGGGAAATGCAGTTTTAGCAAAGCAACCTTTTCTTATTTAAAGCGGGGAAAATCTCCCAGTCCTTTGGACCAGTTTTTGAGAACTGTAATTTCTCGACACTAAATAACCTGGGGAAAAAAAATTATTATTATTATTATTATTATTATTATTATTATTATTCCCTCTGCTCAGCCCTGGCCAGGCCTCCCCTGGAGCAGTGTCCAGCTCTGGGCTCCTCGGGATGAGACACGGGTCCTGGAGCGGGTCCTGTGGAGGGCCTCAAAGATGGTCTGGGGACTGGGGCATCTCTGTCCTGGGGAAAGGCTGAGGGTGCTGAGCAACAACTTTTGGGATGGGGGGGGAAGCAGCTTTCACGGAATCCTTGGACTGAGAAGTTGCTTGTCACCCTTACACAAGGGCTGTGCAAATCTCCTCCCACAGCACGAACTTGCAGAGCGGGCCGGTGTGAGGATGATTTTAGTATTTCCCTGCTCGGCTCTCACAGGCACCGAGGAGCTGGCGGGGACCGCCTGGGCCGCGGCGCGGATCCACCGCGACACATCCAGAGCTGGCGGGGCCGCGGATGCTTCCCCGGGCACCGCTGCATGCAAGGATGAAGGAGAGCCCGCTCGGGCTGCCCGGTCCCTCACGGCCGCCACAGGCACGCAGCGGAGCGCGGGCAGGCAAGGCACCGAGCTCCCACAGCAGCTGCTCCGGAAGAAGCGCTCGGGCAAAGCCCCGGCCCCATTCCCCTCACGGCTCTCCCCTCCACGTCCGCCATTTTAAACCGTCCCCGCCCGCCCGCGCCACAAACGATTCACTTCACCATCGCTTTTTTCCCCGCGGTCGGAGTTTGTCGCTCATCTTCCTCCCCCACACACACTCCTCTGCCCTAATTTCTTTTCTTTTTATTGCTATTGCTATTTTTGGGATTTTTTTTTTTTTTTACGGTTTTCAACACACATTGTTCAAAAATTTCCCCGCCTCCACCGAGCCCTTCCGGGTCACGGCGGCGGCGTTTTAACAGCCACTTTCCAACCACAGAGCGAATTATTAATTTACAGGGGGACTTCCCGCGCTCCCTCCGGGACCACCTCGGGAAAAAGTAGGAAAAAGGGATCGGGGGTCGCTCCCGCGGCGCCGCGGGCGGGGCGGTGCCGCGTTTCCTTCCGGGGCGCCGCCGGCCATTTTGTGGCGTTAAGCCGCGCGCGCGGGCGGTTCCCTCTCATTTCCTCGTCGCGGCGGGACGGGGCGGCCGCTCCTGGCGCTTCGCTCCGGCCTCGGGCCGCCCCTCGGACCCTGAGGTGGGTGCTGCTCCCTGCGGACCCCGCGGCTTTCCCCTATGCGCTGTAGCTCTCCTCCTTTTCGGACTCGCCCTGCGGCGTGAGGCGCGTCGCCCTCAGGGCCGCGCCGGCTGCTGACCCCCTTGAACCCCTCAGGTTTATTCTCTTCGTCCGCCGCCGCCCCTCAGGGGCTCCTGCTCACCATGAGCTACGGCCGCCCGCCGCCCGATGTGGAGGGCATGACGTCCCTCAAGGTGGACAACCTGACGTACCGCACCTCCCCGGACACCCTCCGGAGGGTCTTTGAGAAATACGGCCGCGTGGGCGACGTCTACATCCCGCGGGACCGCTACACCAAGGAGAGCCGCGGCTTCGCCTTCGTGCGCTTCCACGACAAGCGGGACGCGGAGGACGCGATGGACGCGATGGACGGGGCGGTGCTGGACGGCCGGGAGCTGCGCGTGCAGATGGCCCGCTACGGCCGCCCGCCCGACTCGCACCACAGCCGCCGCGGGCCGCCGCCCCGCCGGTACAGCAGCAGCGGCTACGGCCGCCGCAGCCGCAGGTGAGCGCCGCGGAACGGGCAGCGCAGTTTGGGCAGTAAATGAGATGAACGGTGCGCCTGTGCAATGGGAGCCGTTTGTTTTCATGTTGGTTGCCTAGAGAGGTAGTGAGGTCTGTTGCTGAGTGGTGGGGACACAGAGTTGAGCCATGCGCTCTAGGCCGATCTTCCTTAAGCAGAGGGGTTGGACCGGATGACCCGCTGTTGCCCCTTCCGACCGGACCGATTGTGGGATTCTGTGTCCTTTCCCCAGTGAGTTTCGTGGCGGGGCTGGGAAGAGGAAGTGGGGGTTTGCTAGAGGTTTGCTAGCAGAGGCACGTGGAGTTCCCTCGGAGTGGAAGGGTTTCGCCCTGTAGTAGGTTTAGCCCCCGGCCACTCGCTCTGAACAATGGCGCTCTCGTAACACTCACTTTCTTGCCCACGTGCGTCCTGTTCCGCCTTCCGTGTCCCGCAGCACTCGCGCCAGTCCGTGTGTCACCCGTGAGCAACTTCTAAGCGTCTTTTCTTTTTTTTTTTTTTATCCTCCTGGTGTGTTTTAGCCCTAGAAGACGCCGTCGCAGCCGATCTAGAAGCAGGAGCCGCTCTAGGTCCCGCAGTCGGTCCCGCTACAGTCGATCCAAATCCCGGTCTCGCACACGCTCTCGGTCTCGCTCCACCTCCAAGTCCAGGTCTGCCAGGAGATCCAAGTCAAAGTCCTCATCTGTCTCCAGATCCCGCTCCAGGTCAAGATCCCGGTCCAGATCTAGAAGCCCTCCCCCTGCCTCAAAGAGGGAATCCAACTCTAGATCCAGGTCTAAGAGCCCTCCTAAGTCTCCGGAAGAAGAAGGAGCTGTATCCTCCTAGGAACATGGTAATGTACCTCGGGATCAGCACAGGATGCATGTTACTTTATTAGAGCACTTAGGCGGGGTGTTGGGTAGTGCTTGGAGCATTAATAGCCTGAACCAAGTGAATCCTAGTGGGGCACATTGTTAGTTGTTGGTTTTGGTTTTTTTTTTCTTGAGCAGTGATTTTTTGGTTATTGATTTAGGGAAATAATTACTGAAGGGTTTTCTACGGAGGAATTTTTTTTTTTAAACAGAGAAAATGTTTTATTGCAAGATTAATGCCTTGGTTTTAATAAAATATTGTATGAGACGCAACCTATGATGAAAATGACTATTTCTTACTGTATTTATCCAACATCTGCATTTTCCCCTTTAAAGCTGCGGTCTCCTGTTTGCTAAAAGAATATTGGCCAGTATTGCAGATTTTAACTGATTTGGCTGATCCTCCAGGGACCAGTTTCTGTGGGCGTGTGTTGGAGCAGGTTTGTCTTACACTGTTAAAGATACACTATCCTTTTAGAACGAAGATCGGTTCAGTGGCCGTTGTACTGACTGGAGGTAATAACTGTCCTAGAAAAGTGGTAAATTCCTTGCAACGAGAAAACCACGGAAACTAGTTTTTCCTCAAGTCGACATCTTGAAGAGGCATCTAAGGATACACCGGGTGGGGAAAGGATAGTGTGTCTTTAACCCTTCAAACTGTTTGGTCCTGTTTTTTAAAAGGAAAGGGCCTGAGCTAGCTCTGGATTTAGATAATTGTAGCAAAATTAGTCACATTTTCAGTTCTGATTGCTAATTAGAGCTTAGTTAAGTCTTTATGAAGAATTACTAGTTTTGTAACTTTTATAGAACTCTGAATAATTGAGTGGTGAACAGGCTGAATTGAAGTTAATGGTGGCTTGATCTACAGCCTGGTGCTTATTCTCCTTTGTAACTAAATATTTTGACCAAACATTACATTTGGCCTCTGAAGTAAAGCAACACACACGGGGGGGTGGTGGAACACTGTGGAAATTCCTAAAACTTAATTAAATTAGTCAAAGCCAGTTGAAACACAACTAGAAGTATCCCTGAAGTCATCCACACCCAAAATGGACAAGGTAGAAACCTGGCTGAACTTTTCTCTCTTCAAACCTAGATGCTTCAGCTAAATGAGAACCCAGATAAAGGACGCCTTTGGGGGGAAAAGATCGCTTGAGTCTTCAGCCCGTTGGAGAGACCCTGGCCGAGCAACCAGCTGTTGAAAAGGTTATTTTGTAACATTTTGTCTAACTTTTTACTTGTTTAAGTTGCGCCTCAAGTGGCAGATTTTACATTTTATGTGCCATTTTGTTGCTGTTATTCAAATTTCTTGTAATTTAGTGAAGTGAACGACTACCGATTTCAATATTGGCTTGGATATTTGAGGTAAAACTTCATTTTTGTTTATGTAGTGCTGACTTCTATTGGAAATTAAAATCGATGGTAACTTGCTGCCTCCAGTTTCATACTGAGGAATCATGCAGCCATTATATGCTGATAGCTAACTGTCAAAAAGTACTCTCAATTTTATTTTGATTCCTTAAATAAGTCCACAAAACTTCAACTTGGAACTTACTGTAAATGCTTTTTTTTTTAAAGAAAGAAAAACTTTGACTTAAAATAAGATTCCTCAAATTCAAATTGGTAGAAATCTTTTCAGGTGACAGTTGATATTTGCAAGGATTGTTTTATCAGACTCAATTCTAATCTCTTCTCTTATGTATTTTTGTGCACTAGGCGCAGTTGTGTAGCAGTTGAGTAATGCTGGTTAGCTGTTAAGGTGGCGTGTTGCAGTGCAGAGTGCTTGGCTGTTTCCTGTTGTCTCCTGATTGCTCCTGTGTAACGATGCCTTGTCGTGCAGAAACAAATGGCTGTCCAGTTAATTAAAATGCCTGACAACTGCACTTCCAGTCACCCGGGCCTTGCGTAAAAAAAATGGAGCATACAGTGAGCACATCTAGCTGATGATATACACACCTTATTTTTTCCAGAATGGTAAAACTTACCAACCTACATATATGAACTTACATATGAGAATTGTAATGTTAAGCAAAGAATGGTTCATTCCTTTGTAAGTACTGATTGGTGTATCTTTTGCTTAAGACATTCTGTACTATACCCACTGTCTCTGTAGTTAATATTAAACATTTTTTTCCGTGTTAACTTTTCTCAACTTAATGTCTTGGGTCAGCTTATTTTTAGCTTGAAAAGATTTCTGCAATTATACTGTCAATGTTTAACTTCTATATAGTAACTAAATGCATTCTACTGCTTATAAATTTTATCCACTGGGGTTGCTTTGAAATTACTGTGGGCAAACTTTAATTAGCATTGTTACTAACCCAGTGTTGCGTGGCAGGTGGTAACACAGCAGGCCACGAACACACACCCATCCTGGGCTGGTGTTGTGGGAGGTCCACACTGAGCAGTACTAATAATTGCATTGCTGTGTGCTTGCCCTGGCTCACCAGGCTGCTGCTTGACAGGGGCTGATCTTTACAGTGATGATTTCTCTTGATTTGGTACCAAACGACTTGTAATTCAAACATCCTGTGTCAAGGGTTATTGTAATGCCTTGTGTTATCTTATGCATGTATGTTAAATGGGAATGGAAACATCTGAACACTGGCAGTATGGCTTTGTTGAGGATTAAAAGTACTTTTCTACAAACTGAGGAGTTGGTATGTTCTAGGTTAGCGCAGTCTCCACACACTCATTTACCAACAGAGGGGCTGGCTTTTGTATGTGGAACTTTGGGAAGGATTCTCAGTCCTGGGAAAGGAATCCTATGGGAATGTTTTGGTTTTTTTATTTTAAAAGAGTGCCGTTACCTTTTCATAGCTGAAGCTGTGGATTTAGGTTGGATCTGGTGGATTTCCAGGTTAAACTATGTTGTGTAGTGGCTCACATGATGGAATTGAGGCTCTGAACTATTTCATGGACTTGGGGGAGGAACACAAATTTCTCAAAAGCCATAGCTGGAAAACCAAACAGCTTTATTTTTACACTGCATGTTTTAGGAATTGCTGCTTCCCCAAAATATCCATGAGGTTTGCTGTAACCAGGACTGTTCTCTGCAGCTCTGTGCTACAGTGAACAGCTGAGTATCACGTTGTACTGAAATCTGAAGTGGAATAAAGTGACGTGCCCTCTGACCGTGCTGGTGAGATGATCATCATTTCAACTGTGTGTCTTCCTGGCATAGAGGAGCTGGCCAAGTGCTCTTTGTCTGCACCAAAGGAGTGCAGGGGAACGTGGATGCTCTTCAGCTTCCATTTGTGGAGCAGAGCCTCGATAGACCAGTCAGCACTGAGGGGAGGAAAAGGAGTGCAAACCTAACCAGGGTTATCACTGCTACAGTAACTCAAGCAGGCTGTCACCAAACTAGTACAACACAGCCAGGTTTCTGTCAGTTTTTTACCTAACTGCAAATTGGTGGTCTTCGGATAATTTTCAGATTTTGTTACCGGCCAAATAGCAGCCTGACTCACAATAAAGAGCTTTTCTGAGTCAGAGTGCTGCTGCCACAGAGGAGTTGATGCTCGCCTGCAGCTGAGACAGGAGTTAAAGTTTGACTTTGAAATATGTAAAGATTTTACCTGCGGACTTGGTATGTTGTCCAGAATTGAGCATGTGGGTTCTTCTCCAACAAGAAGTAAATTGTAGTTAAAATGTCTTCAAAGTCTGTAGTTCAGGGAGATAAAGCAGTCTAGGATAGTTTATCCACACCTGGATTCCAGGTGTGGATAAATCTCCTGGTTGTTTGAAATGGTAATTACAAATGAATGCAAGCACGGTGTATCTGTATGAGAGACCCGAGCATGGCATGAAGGCACTCAGTTACTCACTTAATCCACTCCCACTCCCTCAGCCGCATTTATGACAGCTCTAGAGGAGAGTTACCCCAGAGCAACAAGGTCAGTAGCACAGCGTCACCTGATCTGCTGTTCCCAGCAGTACTTGGACACCAACGCCTTGCAGTCACAAACCAAAGCTACCTAAGAGCATTAACGTACCTTTGGGGTCAAAAAAAACATCTGAGCCTAGAATAATGTCTATGGGCGCAAGAGAGAGCAGCTCTGGCGACACGCGGCCCCAGGTGAGGCCGAGGACGGGCACGTGGGGCTGGCGGTTCATGAGGCAGCTGCTGCGGCAGCTCCGCAGGCACTGCGGCAGCTCCTCGCTGTCCGACAGGATCACCCGGGCACCGCACCTGGCGGCCACCACGCCGGGGAGACTCACACCGGCACCGATCTGAAACCACAGCGTGATCGCGGAGACCGCGGGCGGAGCCTGACCCGCGGGTCACGAGAGGGGAACGGGCGGGGAGCGGGCGGTACCTCCAGCACTCGCTTGCCGGGCAGGCTCCGCCTGTGCGCCCACAGGTATTGGGCCAGGACCACGGCGCAGGGCCACACGTACATGCCGTACTGCGAGTCCAGCACCTGCAAGACACGGGGCGAGGCGCTGTGCCGGGGTCCCGGGAGCTCCCGCTGTTCCCCGTGTCCCGGCTGCCCCCGGTACCTCGGGCACGCGCACGGCCAGCGCCGCCGGACCGTCCTCGAAGCGGTACCGCCGCGCCCGCCGCCGCCGCGGCTCCGCCATGGGCCAATCGCGGCCGGACACGTATTGGCGCTAGGCCGCGCCGGCCAATCGGCGCCTCCTCCCGGCGCGACGTCACGCGGAGCGCCGCCGCGGGCGCTGATGGCGATGAGGCGCTCGCCCAGCCGCGGCCTTCCCCCGGGGCCGCGGTTAAGCAGGGCCGCTCCCGCCCGCGCCGCTGCCCCGGCGGGGCGGGGCTGGCGCCTCCGCGGGCTGCTGCCCGGAGAAGGGAGGAAACCGGCCGACACGCGGTCGACCCGCCACTGTCCGGGGAGCAGCAAGCGCGGAGCGCGGGTCCGCCGCGGCAAGGGCAGCGGCGGCGGTGGGCTCCCGGGGCGGCCGCGGAACTCCGCGGCCAAGGGCGCCCGGTGCCCGCGCTGCCTCCGTGCCGCCCGCGCTGCCCTTCCTCAACATGGCGGCGCGGGGGCGCCGCTTCCCCAGCCTCCGCCAATCAGCGCCGAGGCGTGGCGGAAGCCGGGGCACAGCCGGCCAATGGGAGTGCGGCGGGGGCGGGGCCGCGGCGACAGCGGCGGCACGGGGTGAAATTTCTGGAAGGTGCGGCCGGAGCGGGGCCGGGATCGGGATCAGTGGTCGGGATCGCAATCAGAATCCGGGTCGGGCCGGGGGCCGCGGGCGGTGACGGCCCCCAGCGCCGCCGCCATGAACCACAAGAGCAAGAAACGGATCCGTGAGGCGAAGCGCAGCGCCCGGCCCGAGCTGAAGGACTCGCTGGACTGGACCCGTCACAACTACTGCGAGACGTTCCCCCTCAGCCCCACCGCCTGCAAGGTGCGTGGGCGGAGGGGAGAGAGGGGGATGAGGAATGAAAGGGTGGGAATGGGGAATGGAGAGGGGGAAATGGGGAATGGAGCGGGGCGCGACTGAGCGAGTCCTGCGGGGAACGAGGAAGAGACCTGAGGGGGCTGGGGGAGGTGGGGCGGGGGCACGACTGGGGAGCCCTGAGGGGACGGGGGTGCAGGGGGCGACTGACGGGATTGGGAAGGCCTGAGGTGAAGGGGGAGCTGCGGGATGTCTGATGGGAAGCGCGAATGGGCCCTTTCCCGAGGCTGGGGTTGCCTCGGAGCTGGCGGCAGGAGCGCTTTGGTGAGGGACGGGACTTTCTTCCCTCCACGTGGCGAGGCGTGTGGGAAGGTCGGGGCCCGCCGGGATGGAACGGGCGCCCGCATAACTCCCAGGAGCGCTTCCCGGTGTCCCGAGGGAGTGAAAGGCAGCAAGGGACGTGTCAGCAGAAAGGGCAGGGTGGCCTCTCCGCCCGGGGAGCTGCCTCGGTGCGGAGCTGTGCCAAAGGCTGGTGTGTGCAGGGAGCGGGCCAGCAGAAATGGGGCTGCAGCCTCGGGGAGCTTAAAATAACGCAGAGGCAGCTCCACAGGCGCGTGGTGTGTGGAGAAAGGGATACGTGTGAAGCACCCCCTCGAGCAAGCGCAGCCCTGTCAGTCTGTCCTAATGCCTGCCCTGCTTTCCTCCCTTGGTTTCCCAGGATAACGTGGAGAGGGCAGATGCACTCCAGTTAACAGTGGAGGAGTTTGTCGAGCGTTATGAAAAGCCTTACAAGCCCGTGGTGCTGCTGAACGCTCAGGTGGGCTGGTCTGCCCAGGAGAAGTGGACGCTGGAGCGGCTGAAACGCAAGTACAGGAACCAGAAGTTCAAATGTGGGGAGGACAATGATGGATACTCTGTGAAGATGAAGATGAAATATTACATCGAGTACATGGAAACCACGCGTGATGACAGCCCCCTGTACATCTTTGACAGCAGCTATGGAGAGCATCCCAAGCGAAGGAAACTCCTGGAGGACTACAAGGTCCCCAAATTCTTCACTGATGATCTCTTTCAGTATGCAGGGGAGAAACGAAGGCCGCCCTACAGGTAGAGTGACAGCAAGACAAAACTGGGTATTTTGCAGCTCATTGTTCCTAAATACCTGGGGTTGTCTCATAAAAAAGGGGGATATTTTAACGTCATCTCTGAAATGAGTGTACATCTGTAATCCTGTGGGAGAGAAGAGAGATTTATATCATAATTTTTCCTCCTGCCACCAGTGTTGCTACAGGTTTATGGTTTAGGGTTTTTTTTCATTCTGTTAAGTCAGTTTACATCACTTCTTAGTTACATAGTTACTGAGAGCTATAAAGATCAGTTTCTTGCTGTGTGAGCCTTCTTGTGTTCAAATTTTAAATACCTCAGGAGCAGCTCCTGGGTTTTGCACCAGTGGCTTATGTACAGTGTGGAATTTTGTTTAATTATGAGTCACTCCTTTTAAGGTAAAGATCTTAAGCTAGATTAGGATCTAATATGGGCACCAGTTCTTAGCTCCCCTTCAGATGGTTTTGAGAGAGAGCAATATTTCACATCTGTGTAGTCTTTTCAACTCTTTATTTTTGCTTCAGCTTGGAAGAGGGTGAAATGACATTTCATTCATATATTCAAATGGAACAACCTTGTATTTGGACTTCTAGATAAAAAGCCATTTTTATCTATGTTACTCTGACACTTCATAGCACTGTGAGCTCAAATTGAACCCTCCCAAGTAATTAAAGTTGTTACATTATAATTGTCAGACAATGCCTGTTGCTCTTTGAGTGACATGAGGCTGTGATGTGGTTTATTTAAATAAAATTAAGCAATAGCTCATCAGTAATGGCACTTCCCTCTGCATTCTCATGTGTCTGTAGTCCAGTTGTGCTTTTGCAGGAGTGAGGCAAGAACCTGATTCCATTTGAGATCAGTGAAGGAGGTGTTTTTACAGTGCTTTCCATAATTCTCTTCTAAGAACATACAGCACTGTGGTCAAACACAAAACCACACGGGATGTAGTAGAAACTGAATGCATTTAATGACCTGGAGATCATTTACCCGAGTTAGAGGTGAATGAGAGAGTCTGGTTGTGACTCATTTATTTTGCTGTCTGTGTCCCCCACACCCTCCCCACCTACAGGCACATGCTGAGCTCCTTGCCCTTTATCTTGGTATCCAACTCCTTGTGTTTTGTTCTGGAAAATGTGGGTATTTTTCAGGTTGGTGAGGTTTTTTGAGAGCTGAATGATGCACGAGAGCACAGTAATGTCTCCTGGAGTCAGAGGGTTCATCTAGGTACAGAAATGAGTGTGCAGTGCATTTAGAGCATAATTGAAAATCTGACATGAAGTGGTACTAATTGTATGAGGAGGATACGACCTCTGCAGTTTGATCTCTGGATTGAGAGGTGTGTGACAGTGTGTAGACCTTAAAAGAATAATTGGTGCTGTTTAGCACATTTTTATTGTCGTTGTTCCTCTTTAAAATAAAGGCAGTAATTTCTGGAAGCCATTTACTGAAGCAGCTATTTTAATTTGAGGAAGGTGGCTGGGGTTTGTTTTCAGATTGGATTTAGGAGTTGTGAAGTTTTTAATGGTAAATTTGATGTCTTGGGGCAAACTGTGTTTTGTTCATTGTAAATTAAGTACTTGGAGGAAGGTGCTGCTAAATGACAGTGTTGCTAAATAAGGGTTTTAAAACCTGTGTGTGTAGATTCAGGTTATTGTCAGAAAAAGGGTATTGAGCAGTGCATCTGTCTGTATCAGACAAACCTTTGTGTATAATTTCTGATTTCTTAACAAAAGCCTTGACTGTTCTACCTGTAGTGTAATCAGCTTTCTAAGCATAATATGAATCTAAAGAGTGAATTGGCAATAGAAATGACAAACACCTGCTTATTTACAGCTCCTTTGTGAAGCAGGAAGAAATCAGCTTGATGATCAAACTTTACTATCCTACAATTGATGCTGGCCAATGATCCTTCAAAACCAGTTTGATTTACACCTGTACTGGAAAGGGGAGGTGGAGAACTTGCTGTATATCTGAAGCTTTGCATTCCTCTTGCTGGGCATCACCCTCCTGTCACTACACCATGAAGGGATTGTGTTGGTGCTTTAGTGTCTGCACTCTCTTGCTGCTAGTTAAACAATTTTTGTCATTTTTTTCCTCTTGGTGCCTGGTATGAAGTCACCTCACACTGCTTTTTCTGGTGTGGTTGGTCTTACTGCTCTGTTCCAGGGAAAATAAGCAGTTGAAGATGCTGCTGCAGTTAAACATGTACAGCAGATAAAGTTCTCCACTGGGAGAAATAAACCTTGTAAATGGGCAGTGGGAATATAAACCTCAAATCCTGAATGGTCACTGGAGAATAAGCTCCATGTAGTTAAGTGTTGGAATGAAAAGCCTCTTGTGAGTGAACAGAAGGCGAAGAGAGAAGCCAGGGTTGTGTAACTTGCTCTGTTCCTTGTTGTTGCCTTTTGTTCCTCATTGTTCTGCAGTTCTGATGTGTTTGAGCAGCAAATTCTAAAAAACCATAGGAGAATCCCCCTGCCTAGGAACAATCCCAACACAGGCAGTTGGAACTTAATCATGCTCATAAACTTTGAAATAGTGATTTTATTTGAGAACTGTTTTAAACAAAATACAGCTATGACACGTGAAAAGTCATCTTCACTTACTTATCCCACAGTCATTCCTGTCCCAATTCATATAGGATTTTAGGTTAAACTCCTGTTAAATCCTTTTGCTGCAGTGTGAACTTAACAAAATCAAGACTGTAAATGAAGGAACTGTAGTTAATTTAATTTCTAACTGAATGTGCAATGAGCTGCTATAATTGTCTGCCTAACATGAAGAAAGGGAGCTACCTGCCTGCTCTGTGACAAAGCACTTCTCCCCCCCCATGCAGGTGGTTTGTGATGGGCCCACCTCGTTCTGGAACAGGAATTCACATCGATCCCTTGGGAACCAGTGCATGGAATGCCTTAGTGCAGGGACATAAGCGTTGGTGCCTGTTCCCAACCAGCACTCCCAGAGAGCTGATCAAAGTGACACGGGAAGAGGGGGGCAACCAGCAGGACGAGGCCATCACCTGGTTCAATGTCATCTATCCTCGGACACAGCTTCCCACCTGGCCCCCTGAGTTCAAACCCCTGGAAGTCTTACAGAAACCAGGAGAGACAGTCTTTGTGCCAGGTATGTGCAGATTTCTGCAGGAAGGAAATCTGGGAGGAAAAAAAAGCATATTTGTAACATTCCTATTCAGTTTGTAACATTTCAGCTTTCTTATGTGGCCCATTTCTTACAAAACAAATTGAACTCATTTTGAGATTATTCAGTTACTTCCTGAATGTCACAAAATGTGTATGACCTGTGGCATAGGATTGCATGTGATACAGATGGCAAAACAAGTGGGATTTAAATTGCAGCATCACAGGAATGTAATCTGAACTAAATTGCAGTAGTAGAAAGCTGTCAGGGCATAAAATAATGGCATAAAATAATAGAGGTGTTTGAGCCCCAGTAACTCTTAGACAAAAATGTTTCAATTTGTACATGCTGGAGCAAATTCATGGCTGAATTTTGCATGTGAATGTTTCTTAGCTGTGGGAAATGA